ATTGTCAAGCTCATTTCCATTCTTGGCTTGTTCATCGCTACCACCATAGGACGCGTATAGTAAGGTTCATTGCCATTCTTAGCTTCTGCTTCGCTACCGCCATAGGACGCGTATAGTAAGGTTCATTGCCATTCTTGGCTTCTTCATCACTACCACCATAAGACGCGTATAGTAAAGTTCATTGTCAAGCTCATTTCCATTCTTGGCTTGTTCATCACTACCACCATAGGACGCGTATAGTAAGGTTCATTTCCATTCTTGGCTCATTCATCTGTAGTAGCTTTTGCAAGAGGTAAGAAAGCTTCCTATTAACTCGAATGCTTAGTTATAAAAAGTAGAAATATGTAACTTTTTAGATGAGCAGACGAGGTTTTTTGAGTTTAAGAGATGACGACTTCTGGGGGCATGATGAATCCAATGTGAGTAGTAAAATAAAGATTGACATCTAATAGACGACATTCTTTTCTAGAGCTTCTTTTCTTGACATGACATATGGGATATCTACTCTTAAGCACCGGTGTTTGTACAGCTGGTGTTGTAGTAATACAGTTGAATCTTCTACTGTAATACTGTGAATATAAAATAGTTTTTAACCGGAATTTTAGACCGAACCTAACAACGAAGATGAGGAGCCCACTGAGAAGAAGAAAGGAAATTACTCCACAAATGTTGAGATACTTGGACTTCCGGTGGAAGACGTACAAGAGGAGTTACGCAATTGTGGAGAAAAGGTAGATGTTGATGGCTGGGAGGCTGTAGGACGCAAATTAGTGAAGAAAAACGATGAAAAATTTGAGTCAGGTAAGATTTCCAAACGATTTATGTTTGGTATAACTATGATTGCTATGGAGTTAATAAGACGCAAAGCAGGATGAGACTTTAGAGGCCTCCGCTTTCTTAATCGACGTACATTCTTAAGTGACAAGTAATTTGCAAGCTATTACTTTAGCACCTACTTCTAAAGTACCGATCGCAGCACTACAGTGAGAAACCGCCATCGAGTAATGTTGGATTATGTAATGGTTTTCTCCACCATCGCCTACATCTCTTCTAAGCTGACGATCATACTCCTTTCAGGACATATGCATCGGTCTTCAAGTAGATGCTGTTGCACTGAAAATAACAGCGATGACATTATCGAAATTCGAACATTAGTGAAAGAGAGTGTATCAGTTTAATGTTTAAGGGAATTCATTTCGCCACAACTGTCTATTCGGAGGATTCTCTGGAACGAATGCGGTTCCATATTATCAACCGCGAAAGGTCAAAAGATATGGAAGATTCCCACCGAGACGACTGAATAGTTCATGCGAGGTGCGAATATACTGTAGACAATATCATGTCTCAGATATCGAGAATATAAGTAATAACGTAGTTGCAATACCAAGTAGTGTAATAATCTGCTGAAGTCTAATTTCATAAACAATATATGTCATGAGTCTCAAAATCATTGAGAGTTGGGGGATACCAGCTCCTCGTGACTGAGCGTGTTTCTGGCATGGTCGCATTTTGATGAGGACTCGTCAACTCAGCAAAGCTTCCAAGCCGAGGTGAATTTCGATATTTTCATCCGACAGTTTAGCTGAGAAATTCCAGGAGTCGCTGCAATCTCCATATATACATAGATGCAATTATGACAGATTTTAGTACAACGACAGCAACCACCTGTGATTACAGCGTGGGAAACTCCCATCATCACTTTACAATTGGATAGTTCGTGAGAAACGTTTTAGATTGGAGTTCACGTTAAAGGATTTCACATATTAAATGAACTTCCTTGATGGCTCTGTCGCTTGTAAGCAACAGATACCTTAAAAATTTTTGTTTCGTCGCGTCTACTAACTTGGATAGCCTGACCTCAGTGACTGTGCGGATCCCAGCGTAATCTCCTTTTTTTCGGACATTTGCTGGTCTAGCCATCGTGCTTCCCTGGAGTCCCGAGGTCAGCCTGGCTAAAGTCTGCACCAGGTCGTCACTACCACAGGTAGTCGCCGCTCTTGTGGATCGAGAGAGATTTGCCACTATAAGACTAGTTTGATACCAGGGCGGTGCTGGATCCCGGTATTGGTTTACTCTTAGCTGTGCTTCCTGATGGAAACGCCCGAATCGTTCTCAGCTCGGGAGACCCTGTCGGGGCATGAATCTCCCCGTTGTACATTGCAGTCCGGCACTCAGGAACACCTCTCGGTCACGAAGCCGTAAACCGTCAAGAGGCGCCTCTACTAAACTGGGTGCAAAAGAGTTTTACCGGGTTTGGCTACCAGCGAAGCGTTTTCAAAGGAATGCTTTCATAGCGTTTCTACTTTTCACCATCCCGTGAAGGACGTTGCGGCACTTTGGGGCATTTGAAAAAATTAACATCTAGAAGGCATCGTAATTTCCATGGAGGATTCATTTCATTCGTGTTATTCTTACGGCCAATCTTCATCAACACTCACTTGAGTGCCAACACAATCTTTCTTTCATTGTTGTGTAACCAACTAGATAAGGCTTTTTCTGTGGAGTCCTGAGAATGCCTTATCGCTCCCAGGATGTCACTATAAGAAACGGACAACCTTTGTTAATCGTAGTAGCTTCCTTAAACTAGGATTAGATCTCTTTCAGGATAATGTAATTTCAGCAGTTGATTTTCTCTTATTGAAACATTCGGAAAAATAGGATGTAGGATTACATAGGATTTTGAGTAAGCTTTAGTTGTTGCGCGGTAATACTGATGCCATAATGAAAGCTGGACAAGTGGAAACATCCGTAGAACTGTTCTCTAGCAGGGCTACGGTACTTTGGATTTGAGTGCTTAATGAGTTTTATTTTACTTCGTTATATCACGCTACACTTTATTCAAACATTCTTTTTAACTTCGCTCAGAGCCCACCAAGCTTCCTATTCCTTCAAAGTTGGAAAGTAGCTACCAAATTTTCTTGGAAGCAGCTCGTCGAGCCACGTTCCCGATGGGGAACGCCCTGCCTTAGGCTATCATGGGAATTCAGAGGAAGTCGGCTCATCAGGCGTTCACCAGTGTTGATGACGAAGAGCAAAATCCTCATATACCAGCGGAACCCGTATGCAGCAGAGTTCGAAAGCCTTCGTCGATGATGGTTAGGAGGGGACGAATCGAATGCTAGAAGCGCTGAGGTCCGCAATATATGATATGCGATGTCGGGTGATAAAAAAAATACTTAAGTTTTCGTCCTATAACCCGTGAAATATCTCATTGCTAATTTCATGATCTTACCCAACAGTTTTTTCGTTTGTTACTCCTGCTTTGTTATTTAGGACTTAAATGTTAACTGGCGCGATAAATGCATTCATCGAGCGCGTGCGCAAAATGAACAATCCACTCCAGGAGAAAGGAACAGTGGTGGAGAAGAAAAGGAGAAATTGGAGAAATTTGAAAGAGATTGTGAGTAACTATTAGTTCCACTACGGTAGTCAGCGATTTCTCTTTTGTCACGATTGCTTTGAAGCTGCAGTTGCGGTCAAATAGTTTCAAAAAAGATTATTGGTGCGTTTGATTAAAAAATGATTTGTATGACCTATAATCCACTCTCCGTTCAGTTTCTGTTGCACGGTACAATTGCCTTCATGGGTTCGCTTGTTGGACAAACACTACGGAGGATATCAACAAGTAGCTGGCTGTACCTTGTTACATTGGCTGGATATACTACTGTCTCTCTTTCTTTCTCCCCCACACTTTCTTCTTTTCCCTCTCTATCTCCCTCATTCTCTTTTTCTCTTGATTCTCATGGAGTAGACATTGAGACTATTTGTTGAACCTCGAACTTTTCTTTATCAGCCACATGATTTGCAGATCTCGTCATAAACGATGTATAGGATTCAGTCCACATACTATCCACTCCACCAGGCCACAAGTGTGCATGAAAATGACTGCGTATATGGATAGAATAAGTCAGTCTGCCGCAAAACAGAGAGGAAGCCTGACCTCCAAATCCTTTTCATGGCAGTAAATCGTCGCCTTTGTTCTGAGTTAAGAACTACGATTGAAAAGAGACACGTGGTTTCACCAATAACCTGATCATGAAATCTCACAATAAAAAGTTGTGTATAGTTAAGAATTAAATACTGGCCGGTAATACACATCTTTAGTTTTCATATTCAAGATCGAAACTAATACAGAATATCTCATTACGCAGTCTATGAGTTCTCTATTTCTATTCATACAGTAAAAGCCGTTACGCTGTTTGCGCGAGCTGACTAGTTTTTGTTCCATACGGATAGAAAAAAGAGATCTCATGAAAATAACAACTGTGTATAGAAATTTGATATTTGGGACATACTTTGTCGAAACGTGAGGTCTCATCCTAAAAAACGAAGCGGCAGTATGTGTCTTATTATAATCCGTGTTCGTGAGGTGAAACAGTGGGCATTTAACCACCCAAGAAGAAGAAAGAGAAGAGTGACCTCTTATAAACAAACACTTGAACCTAGTTTATTTAGCGATTTCGTTGCTTAATACTGGAACTACTGATGCGGAACAACCAGGTGACCGCCCTCGAGGCGTATGGAATCTTGATGAGGTAACGCGCTAAGGGTAGATTTCTTCTCTAAAGATTTCTTTAAATTGCTAAGCAGAATTGTGTATAGAGGATTTCTATGAACGCTTAGATAAACAAAAAATCTAAAGCGGTCTAATAACTTAAGAATGTTCTACATAATAACAAATATTACAAACTCTAGAGTTATCTATTGATTTCAGAGACCTAGTTTGAATATGACCGAGGAGGAGTATGCCGCCTACTATGAATATTTTTGTCATGGTATTCACAAACTTCTCGAAAGCGGAGTTACACTCACCACCGATTGTGATTTGCGTGACAATTCGCCGTCATCCACGTGGTATGATATTTTGTGATTTAACTTTGTAAGGATTAGAAGTGAAAACTTTGTTAAGCTCTGCATTAGACCCGAAATATTACCATCAATATAATTCGGGACCAGAAATTTACAGTCGGAAGGTATTTATTGGTGGCTTGCCGATTGATATTGAAGAAGGTACGATTTCATTTCTAAGCAGGCATTCATCAAATGCTCTTTCACCGATCTCCATTCAGATGAACTTATTGAAGCATTCAATCGCTTCGGTCCATTAGGTGTGGACTGGCCAAATAAAAACGAATCGAAATGCAACTACAAACCTAAAGGTGAGATCTGTTAGACTCATGTCGTAAGCACAAGCACTCCAAGGTTTATCGAAGATAGTCGATAACTTCTTGTATCAAAAAATGCTTTGTTTCTGGAAAAGGCCTAGCTTAATGCAGATAATGGTGTTCTTATAAACAAATTGTATCGTCTTTGAATAACTGCTGCAAGGAAATTACTATGAATATTGTAACTGTTCGTAAACTTTCTCACCACTTCTATGTTAACCGTTTCCATGTCACTTGTATTGGGCCCCTGCTAACAGTTAGTAATAAATTCACATTCACAAGGCAGTTATGATTTCTTAATCAAAGGAAAATGATTCCTAGAAATAAATCCAATCCATGTATACCCGATTTCGAATAAGGCGCAGACATAATGTGAAGTGATGAACTACTGCGAAGCCTTAAATTTGTCCGTCCAAAGCGTTTTATCAACGTTTTTGTCTTAACTAGTCAATTTCTTGGTAGTTCTAGCTTCCGGTAATTCTTGGCTAGTTGGTTTGTAAGATGTTTTCCTATATTTTGAATATTTAAAAGATCGCGTTTGGAGAATCGTAGGTCATAATCAGCTATGGTTTTTACACTTTGCAGAATGGAATGCTCCTCTGCTCAACATTCTTCTAGACTTCTTCTAGAACGGATAAAGTTCCTGATTAGTTCACTCTAGGCTGGTCTTATGGATTAAGATATCGATATACATCATATAGGTTGCATTTTTAGAGAAATGGTCCACAGGTGCACATCACAATTCGAATTCCAGAAGTAAAAATTTCGGGATCATGAAGCGATGTGAGTACTACCGATGGGTCTTTACAGGTTACGCGTTCCTTATTTTTGATCGCGAGGCTTCAGTACGAAAATTAGTTGAGAGCTGCACAGTAGATGAAGAGAAGCTGTTCTACTTAATTAATACTCCATTTGACACGGAGAAGTTGGTTAGTTTCGCCTTTTTTTATTGGATGTGATCTCGCATTACCACAATTTTACATATTCCGAGGAAAAATTTCGTTGTGGAAAGAAATATGGGAGAAATTTCATTATTTTTCGCTGACGGTTTGTTGCAGACCTTATGTACCTTAAATAGTAACCGATAGTATATTACGATAATTAATAGGGGTGATATATAACCATAATGTTGCTGAGGTAATTGCAAAACTCCAAACCGCTGGTGTATGCGGTAGGGAACGAACGCGATCTCATCCTTCCCGGAGACTAACGCGTTTTTCACCACGCCATGCGATTCCTTTGTTTCGCCTGTCTCTCAGCCGTGTTATTGACCTATAGGCGCTATCAGGAATCACCCGTTAACGGAATTGATCTGGGAACTCGCATGGTGTAGTGGCGAAAGCATTAACCCCCGGAAGGGGTAATAGCGAGTTCGGTCCCCACCACAGACGCCAGCGGTCTGGAGTTTTGCAAATGCCTCAGCAACGTTAAGGTTATATGTCACATAATACCCTGCCATTAAAAATTATTGGGCAGTAAATAAAAATTGGTGACTAATAGGAGTACAACCACAACGTTGCTGAGATATTTGCAAAACTCTGGACCGCAGGTGTCTGTGGCAAAAAGATCGATAGAAATAGCTGAGAGACGTGCGAAACAAAGGACCCGCATGGTGTGGTGGTGAACGCGTTACTCCCCGGAAAGGATAATAGCGCGTTCGTTCCCCACCATAGACACCTGCGGTCCAGAGTTTTGCAAATATCTCAGCAACGTTGTGGTTGTATTTCGCTTAGTAATCTGCCATGAAAATTATAGAAGGCAGAAAACAAAACGTTTAACTAATAGGAGTGTTTAACAAACACTACGTTTACTGTAAGAGAGGAACAGAACTGGAAAATGGTGGCAGTGGTGTTACCCCGGTGTTTTTTATGCATTAACCAAGTTTCTTGGAACAGCGATCTTTCCAACATCATTGTATTTTTATCACTCAAACGTCATGGGTATTCTGATCTTCGAGGACAATGATTCAATTGAGGTGAAATCGAAGAAATATGACACTAAAAGGTGGTCTGCACATTCCGATTCTCATGGTCTTATGAGTTAGGACTATATTTCTGGACACTTGGAGCTATTTGATAAGCAATATTTTCTTATTTTCAACTCCAGATCTTTGATTTTAAACCAGAGAGTTCAAATTCGTCCTTGGCGCTTAGCGGATGCCGATTATTTGGTTGATGTGAATATACCGATAAATCTTCGTCGAGTGGTTTTTGTTGGTGGAGTGCCGAGACCAATCCGTGCAGGTACTGTGTCACAATTTTTTCATGGTTTTTAAAAAGATATTATACTGCTTTGTTTAGTGGAACTGGCTCATATCATGGATCGTATGTATGGAAGTGTAGCATGTGCTGGCATTGATACCGATGTCGAATATAAATATCCTAAAGGTTCATGTTTAGATTTTAGTACAGTCTTTCTAAAATAGTAATATCCTGATTTGTACATTTACTCGTGCGGTTCCCATGCCATCTTTCATGAGAAGCGCGAAATTAAAATGTTTATACCAGTGACATCCAGGGAACCAGTCAATTTTTCTCTTCTCAGTGCCAGTCACTTTCCTTCCAGTGAAATTTTTTGGTCATACTAAGCTATGACAATGATTAACCACACAAGAATAGGTTTTAGAGATGGCAACAGATAGTAGGCAACTACTTCAGCTTGTAAGGGCGCGTGTGGCGCAGTGGTTGGAGGCGCCACTGCGGCACACGCGTGGAGTAGATTTCCGCGCCCATGGCCCACCAAACTCTCCATCCCTCCTGGGTCGGCAAATTGATACCAGACTTGGCTGGGAGGATAGCAGCACTGTCTCGATACATTTGCAGGCCACCGCGAGTCATTGTAAAGGCCAGATATGCATCCAATCACCTCCAACGATACTTAATGAAGTCTAATGCATGGCGCATCTTTCAGGGATTGATCAACGCCGAGGGCTTTATCCTTTTTTTATTCACTTGAGCTTGTCAGACATGGTAATCGATTTTTTCGGTAATAACGCTTCTTCGTATGATTCACTTCCATCAATCTTCATATGTCGCACTAACGTTGACCATTTGTTCTCTGAACTTTCCTTCAAATTGCTTGTCGTTTCTATGAGCTCAACATTTTAGATAACGCAGTTGGAATCCTTTTCTTGTTACAGAGTATTCGATTTAACATATTATTGTTAATGAATCGAATATTAGAATATTCAGGTGCCGGAAGAGTGGCGTTCACCAACTATAACTCCTATATTAAAGCGATTAAAGATCGATACGTTCAGCTGACTCATGGTGAAATCGATAAAATGGTATAAAATCAATCATTAAATGGTTTCATCGTTGTTAGAATTTCTATTAGATTGTGCTGAGGAACTTCTATTGCTTTGTACGGTCCTTTTTTTGTAGGTGGAGATAAAACCGTACGTGTTGGACGATCAGTTATGTGACGAATGCATTGATGAAAAAAATGGCGGGAAGCACGCACCATTCTTCTGTCCTCATCTCGAGTGTCTGCAGGTTTGTTAGCCATTAATGCAGTATCGTTTGAAACAAGATTTCTATTCGAATCTCAAAATCTTCTTTTGTTTATCTCATACAATACCAACTAGGTGGCAATATTCAACGGTTGTCGAAAGATGAAACTGAGGTGGCTAACGGTTGTACACTATCGCTGTTTTCTGGGTGTTTTTTTTTCAGAGTAGCCAATTCTTTTCAACATGTGAAGTAATCATTTCGTTATCTATTGAATAAGGTAGTGTTGATATTCAGCAGCGTAGTAGATAGTAAGGCGATGTTTGCTCAGACATAACTTCGCCAGAGCTTACTAACTCGCTGTGAGAAATGAGTAGTAGTGTTTTACGTTTGTTAGAATGCTACTTCGTTTTTTCTTGCAATAGTCCGCGACCTTGTCGTGGCAAGGGGTGTTCCAGAATGTCCAACTGCGACTAATAGGCGGCTGTTCATCTCACTGTCAGGTTCACCTAGCGTGTCCAAAAGTTTGAAATTTCTGATTAGGCGAAGAAACCCATTTAGGACTAGGTTAGTTCAGTGACATAGCGCAACAAGTTACTCGCTAATAGCAAGATGGTACGAAAAATGCATCCCTTCTATGTTTCTTGAACTGGTAAGCATTGCCAGCATCCGTGTTAGCATAACATGGCAAACACTAACTGTTTGTAATCGCTTGAGTTAATCGCTAAATAACGACAGCGCAAACTATGCAGGTAATAATCGAATACCTCTTAAGGTAAAGACGTTGACATAATGTGCCTTCAAGGATAAACCATTCAACCTTTTGAAACGGCATGAATAATTTTGAATAACAGTATCTATCTTAAGGGGAATTGCAGGTTCGAAGCATACCTATGGTCCCGAGTGTTTCCAAGATATCAGAATTGTTGTGATTGTATTTCACATAATACCCTACCAACTAAAAAAAGTAGTAGACACTAAATAAAAGCCAAACAGTATCCTTCTTAGTTAACCGTTCAAAGCGTCGAAAGGCCAATTGGTGCAATCTAGTCAACCAAATACTCCTACAATCTCAAAGGAAAAGCCCAAAATCTAAACCTTCCGTTCAAAAAGCAATGGGAGTCTAAAGAATAGGTTTTTAATGTGATTCAAAATTTGGTCCTGAGTTTCTCTTCTGGGGATGAGAAACTGTGTATCTAACTAGATTGCACATCAACGTGAGTTTTATAGGCTCCAAATAAAACAAAATTCGCTTAACAGTTCAAACAACCGACGTTCTATGAACCTCGGCATAAATCGTTGATATATTTATTTATATGATCTTACAAACTAATCTTGTTGAGCTGATGCGATGTTGGTATTTTTCGTTGTGGTTGTCATTGTTGTTGGTATTGTTGGTCGATAGTAGACGTTTTGGCGTTTTCGCCTTCCTTAGAGCCATGCTGTTAAAAATGTTTCTAGTGCATTGGTGATTCAGTGACAGGATGGTTGCCTGCCACGCTGGTGATCGAGGTTCAAAGCCCGGCCAACGCACCAGTCATGGTGGCCAACCTCGCATCAGCTCAAAAAAATCAGTTTATAGAAGCAAAATTTGTCAAAGCAGCAGCTTTGTGTATAAATAGCAAAGTAAAAGCCTCATGTCTGCTCAGAAAATAAACAGTAAATTATTGATAAATGCCGAGATTAATAGGTCGTTTTGACTAACAGTATCTATATCTGTAATACTTGGATTCGTATCCTGCTTGGACCTAAGGAATATTATAGGGTAGAGCGTTCCCTGTTGATCTCCCTGAGGGATGGATTTATTAGACTTTATCAAGGACCGTTAAAAGTAAATGAAAGGATATTTGGCCCATGAAGACTTGCGTTGGCATAGTGTTTAATTAAATCAGTGCTAGTATCCTCCCAGGCATGTCCGCTACCAATTTCTCAAGAAAGAGAAAACTCCTGGTGAGCCCAGATTGCGCGATTAAACTAGGGACCACGTCTGTTTTGCAGAGCACCACTAACCAGTGCACAAAACGCTTCCAAAGAATCCTAAAATATTTATATTACCTAACGCCGGCGATCACTGTGATCCCTTCACTGTGTCACTGTGATCCGTTCATCAAAACGACCATACATTTTCCAAAATAGATTGAACCTTAGGAGGTCAAGAATGGGCCCGTCTAATCTACAAAGGTTCTCCATCCTTCGATGCACTTGTTTTGCTGTAAGCAAGTGTGAGGTGAAATATTTTATGATTTTAATTCCGTGGGATATGTCCGTGTTCTTAGACCTTTAAAAATTTTTTTTGTGCCTTTATATCCTTCTTGTTTTCTTTACAACCATGTTTTTTGTAAGCACTAAGCACCTTACACAACTCACTCATTTCCTTTTTTCATTTCAGTACTACTGTGAGCCTTGCTGGACAGCGATGCATAGCTCTCCTTCACGAGAACATCATAGGCCTCTCATAAAAGACGCATAATCGAGTGCTCCTCGATTTTATATTTTTTTTTTCTTTTCTTTATATAATTAAATACTGAAGAAGAAAGTAGGCCAAGTAAATTTTAGTGAAAAAGATTCATGTACATCTCTACCTAAGTATGAAAACACTGTGTAAGTACCAGCGGATAGAAGACAGTAAATAAAACACGAAGTTCAGCTCAAGAAAAAGTTGGAAATGTGACGATTCAAGTTTGCACCGGCTTCTAAAGTAGAATTTCTGTATACATAATAGTGCAGGATAATCTAGGCTTTAAAATACAATCAACATCAAATGGAAGGAAAACCACTAGAATCTAAAACATTTCATTTAGAAGAAATTAAATGCTTCCCTAACCGAATTTGCGATAGTTTTGAGGTTTGGTATCCTGGATTATGGTTCGTAGTTATCTTGGTCATTGTATTGGTCAAAATTTTCTAAGTCGTGATATTTTTGCGCTGCATGCTACCTTATAAAACTAAATACGTGCTCTGAAATTGTGTATAATATGAATAAAGAGATAAAAAACCGTATTTGGAAACAAAGCATTAAAGGTGGTGTTCGTGAAAGTAGCATTTTGACTCGGGAAAGTTTATATCCACCTCTGTATCGAAGAACGTACTTTCTAAAGAACCCATTAAAACGGGCACAGCGCGCGATGCAAATAGGTGGTTTTTTCGTAAAATGACGAAAGGACTGTTGTCACTCTTATTAAAATGAAGTGGTTGCCACTGGTCAGAAGTAGAACTGGGAATCTCTGGCTCGTGAAGTATATGAAACGCGATCTTATGGAGAAAAGAACGGCCTACCTGATGACATATAATATCTGAAACTTTGAATAGAATTCTCGAAGGATTTATGTTCAGTTTTGTTTTTATTTTACATCACGTCATCATATCTGGTGTGCGGATGCTAACACTTCTTGTATTTGATTCGTTTTCCACACACTCATCGCCCACAGTGATCTTGGAACATTTCGCATGTTATTTCAGCTGCGTCTTGAGGACTTCGTCTTCTCTATAATTATCGTAGAATGCTAGTAGAGTGAACTGTCCTTGCAATCTTGGAAATAGCAAATCTAGAGGGTTCCCACGTGAATTGAAGATAAGCGTTAGTCCGGGATCGAACTAGCTCCTTTGCTCTCCCATCGTCGGCATCATTAACCGCTGCGCTATCTCAGCCCAATTAAGTTCGTCACGTTTAAGTTCGGCAAGGTAAATCTAGTTTATGTTTAATTAATATCACTAATAATAATCTCTCGCAACGGTTTACTGCCTCATTGTGGCTGGGAAGTGTTCTTTGATGTCGGGCTGCTACGCACAGAGGTGGGATTCTTCCAAGCTGACAGACTCTCCCAAGCTGAGAAGGAGACCGGCGTTTCCATCAGGAAGCCCAGGTACGAGTAAAACAAAGCCAGGATCCACCAACGTCAGGGTACCAAACTAATCCCATAGTGGCAAATCTCTCTCGGTCCACAAGGGCGGCGACTGTCTGTGGTGGTGGCGATCTTGGTTAGGTTTTAGCCTGGCTGACCTTGGCACTCCAGGTAAGCACCATTGCTAAGCCAGCAAAACGCCGAAAAATGGAGATTATGCTGGCTCCTAGGCAATCGGTGAGAACAGGGAGTCCAAGTATCCAAGTAAGTAATTGCATCTAATGCACGACGCATTCTCAGGTACTAACCAACGCCTTACCCTTTCATATACTTTCATGGTTTTATTGTGTCTTCCGGATTCTACTAGTTTTATGAGAACTTAAAAAACTTCCTGTAGCATCTAATAAATCCGGTCTCAAAGCCTGATATTTGCCTGCAAAACGATGGAAAGGCAATACGGCCAAGCCATCTCAGTGTAGCTCACAGCAACTTGCTTTTTGTAATTGGACACCTCTACGTGCTCCTCATAATTCATTTATTCAAAACACAATGACAATTTAGCATATTTAGTATGTCTTCCATCAACGGTTGCATTTAGTTAATGAATGCTTTTATCGTCTTTGGCACAATAATCTATGTTTTACAAAATGATGAAACAATGTTATCGCACCTGAAGCTAATAGTATGCTTTCTCATTCATAATAGTGTTAAAGACATAACAGTAAATGGCCCTAGATAATCATGAACAAGACACTCGTTTGCAGATTTGTTTCAAGGGTGACGATTCACACAAGAGAAACTTCAGCTATGATAATAGGAAAGACGCAGTATTCTGACACTCTCAAAAATGACGGGGAGACTTATTTGAAACATCGAACACGGCCAGATTAAGGACCTTTAATTAAGCGAAATTGAGTTAATGTCAATATCATATTCAGCATTAGAAGACTTCTGCTCTTCACACCATAGCTCAAAAAGAGTTGGTGAGACCTCACGTTTAATTACCGCTTCATACCTCATTGGTTCCAGTCGCCCTATAAGAACGACATCAACGATGGCACCCGTGCAATGTTCAGCCTTCAAACGAGAGTATATTATCGCATTAACTAATACAGAGCACCTGCATTCCTAAGCAGTAAATCGACATTGCCAGACATCAGTCATTGCAGTGGAAAACACGCCGCTTAATATGTTAACCGTGCCTGCAAAAAAAACTAACAACCCAGCCACACCAAGTGAGTTCACTTCTGCTTTAGTTAATCTAATTGTAATCTACCATTTTTCTTTCACCATTGGTCGATCTTAACCATCAAACAGCTTTTGGTAACAGGATGCTTGCTGGACTATTTGAAGATTTCAGTGGCTGGCAATGCCTCAAAAATTCTTGCTGTTGAAATATGCGTGAATAAATAAAGTCGGCAATTGTAGTTTCATTGAAATTCACCTTAAAAAATGAGTTGTCAGTTTAAATTTGCCATGAAAGTGGAATACAATGTGGGAATACTACAGATTTCTTGAAATCGATAATTTAAACCAGGAAGCGATGATATGGACTGTGAAGTCCTTTTCTATAAAATCAAAAGATTCTCGCTTTGAAGTCGCTTATTATAGAAATGTGAGATAACCGAAACGAAATGAAGTTTCCTTGTAATTTAGAGAGTCACCCGAGTATGAGGTGAGCAGTCCATCACAACAAAGAAAGGAATGAGACTAGTTTACATCTTCGTTTAACAGTGTGATGATCCTCTGAAAACATAAAATAAGGTATTAGAACAAAAAAAAGACAGCATTTGACCACACTACTTACCATAGATATCTGTAAATCCAATCTATACCCTTGCGTTGCCCTCCTCTCAGCCACGTTTTAACTATTTGTTCATACCTAAAAAACGACTTTATCTATTCTGCATATTGCCTATAGCGTATGCCCATATCCACCCAACCGTTCATCGCCTCAGCGTGACAGGGAGGTGTTTCTGGGTGTCGGGCTGCGATGAAGAGCAGGGGGATTCATCCACCTGGCAGGTTGAGAAGTCCGGCGTTTCCATCAGGAAGCCACAGCTAACAGTAAAAAAAACCAGATTCCGTCATCGTCCTTGTACCAAACTACGGTGGCAAATCACCCCCGATCCACAAGGGCGGCGATTGCCTGTACTGGTAACGACCTAGGTTAGACTTTGGCCAGGCTGACCTCAGGACTCCAGGAAAACATAATGGCTAAACCAACAAAGCACCAAAAAATGGAGATTATGCTGAGGGCCGCACAACCAGTGAGGAGGACCAAGTATCCAAGTAAGTATGTTCATATTCTGCATAACTACCAGCTTTCATACCACGGCATACAACATTTCGGAGCACTAGTTGTTGCGTAAGGGAGCAAATAGCACAATGGTAGTGATGCCGATCATCATGACCACGGTGAGGTTCGATCCCGCTGCCGGCCCACCAAGCACCTCATAGCTCCGGGGCCGAGGAATTGGTACGGGACTTGTTCGGGAAAGAAATCACTACCAGCAAATCAAACTGGAACGCTCTAGCCCGGCTATGCCAAGACTCCAAGGAAAATCGGCTCGACCAGCATTCTACGACATTAAAGATGAAACAAAAAACCTCAAGAGGAAGGCAGAGCCACAATGGAAAAGTTGGAAGACCTTCGTGGATGATTGATGCGAGGAAACGAATCGAATGTGGGAAGTCCAGAGATCTGCACAGTGGATGTGAAAGACAGTTCGTATAATAAAAAAAGTTATTGCGCTAACATGCCGCTGTGTTTGCAGAGAAAAAAATGAGACAGGAAAAACGCCTCTATTACAGCGACATCATCTAAATGTTGGTTGCAAGAAATGTGCTAAAATTGAGACGAGTTATCAAGGCAAACTTTTTAGCGCTAGTAATTTGCGGAGCTTGCTAGCTTCACAACAATTAGTACCTCAAAGACAGCAAACACTTTATCTGCAGACAATACTTCAGTAACTCCTGGAAAAGAACAAGTAGGAAAGTGTCAGAATGAAAGGAAGTAATAAATCACGCAATAAACTGCTTCAAGGAACTATGTGAGTTGAGAATGACGAATAAAGAGGAACACATAACAAAGGAAAAAGAGCCCCTGAGAATTGTATTCGATTGCAGTCGTTATACGGTGGATGAAATTGATGGACATTTCATCACACCATGGCGCCAGTGTGCTCGTGACCTTCGAATCGATGCTCTTCGTTCATGCGAACTCCATGTCCAAGATTAGAATCCGTCCTGCGGCCTGATAACTAGACACAGAAGTGTCTACAGTTCACGGTATAAACTAGGCCATGTCATAGTAACCAACAGACGAGGATGCACTGTCTCCCTGAAGAAAACAACGCCGCCAATAAAAGTTGTACTTTAGATGAGGAAGCAGAGGAAATGTATGAAGAGGTAAAAGAAAACTCTTGCTATAGCAGTAGACTTGAGTTTCCTTTGACAATCGAGTGATTTAATCTCAGCATTTCATTTAGAGAGTGTTTAAAGAAAGTTGGATGCAAGGTGTTAATGTGTAAATATTTGTTAATAATCGTTGTCCGTAACATTTCACACCAGTTTCATCGTCTGCTGCAGATCATTTGAGCGAAATGTCACAGAAAATGATGAAAAC